TGCTCATTCTGGATCCTGCCCCACACCCAGCTGATTAGACGCTTTATATCTGCAACCAGCAGCAGTTTTTCACTAATTAGCCACTCACGGTCCAACTTTAAGGTTCTGTGAGCAGTTACTATTATTTTTGACCACCTATAAGGTAAGTGGTAAATATGTGGACTTCCTTGTTTATGAGAAATATAGGAAATCCCTGTGGGGATAGAAAGATAAGATCTGAAATAAAATTCAGGAAAGGAGCACCAGTTTTTACATGGGAGATGCTAAATTAGTATTTGATAATAAAATTCAAGAATATTTCTAGGACCTGTTTTCATTATTGATAAAAAGTAGTTACTTTTGGGAAACAGGAATATTTGTCTAAAGGATTTTGCTCTTGCATGTCAATATGCATGATTGTATTCCTGTTTTCCATGTTGGACCAGTTTTCCTTTACTTGTTATTTAAAGATAATAATTCCCAAGTTTTAAAGGGATACTGGCAATAGAAACATTAAATAGGTTAGGACTGCCAAGTAGAGGATAATTTAACAAATTGAGTTAACTTTCCCATTTCAGTGTTTTTATATAAAATAGAAGCTCTAGATATTTTTTTAAGTGCTAAAGGAATTATTATTTTTTATCTTTATTTTTTATTTTAGAGAGAGAAAGAGAGAGTGCACGAGTGGGGGAGAGGGGCAGAGGGAAAGAGAATCTTAAGCAGGTTCCATGCTCAGTGCAGAGCCTGACATGGGGCTCAATCCCCCGACCCTGGGATTATGACCTGAGCTGAAATCAAGAGTCGGATGTTCAACTGACTGAGCCACCCAGGCTCCTCAGGAATTAATTTTTAATAAAGAATAATGTCTAGTGGTGCCTGGGTGGTTCAGTCAGTTGAGTGTCCGACTTCAGCTTGGGTTGTAATCTTGCAGTTGTGGGTTCAAGCCCCATGTTGGGCTCTGTGCTGACAGCTTGGAGCCTGGAGCCTGCTTCAGATTCTGTCTCTCTCTCTGCCCCTCCCCCACTCCTGCTCTGTCTCAAAAATAAACATTTAAAAATTTTTGAAAAAAAGAATAATGTCTGTAGATTTTTAAAGGAATAATGAGAAAGCACCTGAACTCTTTAAGAGAGGATAGAACTTAGTAAATTGTTGCTTCAGCTAATAAGGCATAAGTCCAAAATTTTTAAATCTAATATTTTATTTACAAGTAGTATATGTAACTACCTTCTTAATTTTGAATTTCAAGCAATTCGCAAGCATATAGAGTAAAATAAAAGTCCCATTAATACCCCTCCCAAATTCAGAGAGGTATCTACTATTTATATTTTATTTAAAAAATTTATATATATGTATGCATATACAGGTAAATTTATATAAATGTTTACTTTGGATAAAAAATTAGTCGTACTTGCTTAGAAGAAGAGTCTTTATTCTTTTTCCTTTTTTTTTCCC